CGGGGGTGGGGCCCGGAGCGCGGGCGGGGCCGGGGGAGGCGGCGGCGGGGCTGAGGGGAGGGGGATGCTGTCGCGGAAGAAGACGCGCGCCGAGCTCTCCAAACCCGGCGAGGTCCAGGGCAAGTACGTCATCAAGGAGACCAGCCCGCTGCTCCGCAGTGAGTCCCCGGATGGAGGGGGGGGAGGGGGAGGGTGACCGTTAACTGAAGGGGGGCCCTGGAAACGGGACCTCCCCTCTCGTTGCTAGGGTGTGTCTGTGTGCGTGTTTTCGGGGGGGTGTCTGTTTTCTTTTTTCTTTCCCCCCTACAAAACCGCCTTGCGAGGTAGGCTCGGGCGGGAGGGCGTGGCTGCCTGGCGCGTCCCGTTTTCTTTTTCTGCGGCCGCCACACACGCTCAATAACCCACTTTCGAACCACTCTCGGTGCCCTGTTTGAGGTGGATCTTGCCAGAGTTCACGCGCAGGGCCCTTTCTGCAGCCGCCCCCTTTTAAGCCATGTTCACCTCGCGGTGCCCTCCGAAGCACTAAAGTCGAATCCAGTCTTTATTTTTAATCCTGTTGTTGTTGTTTTTTTAATCCAGGGGTGGTGGTTTGTTTGTTTCTTTAAAGTCAAAATAACTGATGCAGAATTGACTGGTAGTTGTTATGTTGTATGAACTATGTTATTGTTATATTGAATGTACTGAACACACACACACACACCCCTACCTCTCTCATTGGGATGTTATAAGAATACACAATGCACTTTATAGAATGTTTTTTGTTTTTTAAAGTCAAAATACTGATGCAAAATTGACTGGTAGTTATGTTGTATGGACTGTATATTGTTCTTATACTGAATATATATATATCTCTGATTAGGATAAGAATACACAGTGCACTTTATAAAATGTTTTTTAATCCAGTTTTTTTTTAAAAAAAAATCAAAATACTGATGCAAAATTGACTGGTAGTTGTATGAACTGTGTGTATGTTATTTTGCATGAATGGTATGTATCTTTCCCCCCCCCTAAAAAGGTAAAGGTAAAGGTTCCCTTGCTCAAAAGCCAGTCTAGTCTGACTCTAGGGTTGCGGTGCTCATCTCCGTTTCAAAGCCGAAGAGCCAGCGCTGTCCGAAGACGTTTCCGTTCTGCACTAAAATCGAGTTCAACCTTCTTTTTATTACGGGGTTTTCCTCCGCATTCTGCATTACATTCCCTCCCTTCAGTGGTCAGCCTGATTTCAGCCTGCTGTTACCCCGGGTTATTTGGATGCTGTTTTGCCCGGGACTTAAATTGCCTCAGCTTGAACACTGAGAAAATCTGGACTGGCAGGCAGATGCGGAAAGGACCATAGTAAAATCCAGTTGGAAAGTGCATTGGAAGTGGATTGTTTGGTGTGTGTGATCACAGCCTTTGTGCTTTCCCCCCCAGAATTAATATTTTTATTTTGCGGGGAAATAGCATACAAAGTCGCACAAAAATACATCTTACAGAAATATTAAACCACAGGAGGAGCAACATCCTTGAAACCTAAACCTTTGGAATGTTCAAAAATAGAGGTGAAAATGTGTAAGCCAGCCAAACAAAGGAAACATATACATTTTCTTAAAGCATTGGCGTCCTGCCTTGGTTCGTGGCGCAAGATGACTTACAATGATAGCCAGGACATTCCCAGTTAAAAACTGAAATAAAACTGCAAACTGTGAATCCCCCCCCACCCAAAAAAAAGATGCTTGCTTTTGGGAGGGGGTAAGGCTCAGCGGCAGAGCCTCTGCTTGTCATGCAGAAGGTCCCAGGTTCAATCCCCACCGGCCTCTCCAGCTACAAAAGGACTGGGTAATAATCAGTGTGGAAGACCTGAGACTCTGGAGAGCGGCTGCCAGTCGGAGTGGGCAATGCTGACCTTGAGAGACCAAGGGCCTGACTCTAGCTGCAATCACACACACTAAATAATCCACTTTCTTTGCACTTTCCAACTGGAACTGCCAAGATCCAGTTGGAAATTGCCCTGAAAGTGGATTATTTAGTGTGTGTGACCGCAACTTTGCGTACTTGTGTATTTCTAGCTAGCTGGGAATTTGAACCCAGAGCAAGAAAAGCAACAATTCTGGGCAGATGATTTTTTTTTTTTTAGTGCATGCCTCTGGGAGTGTTTTTCCAGAAGCAAGTTTGTGGGGATGTGTGCAAGCATTTAATGTTATTTATGAAAACATTATTATTATTATTATTATTGTTATTGTTATTGTTATTGTTATTATTATTAATTTATTTATTTGTAAAAACATTTAAATCCCACCTTGTGGTTCAAGGCAGCTTATGATAACAGTTAAAACATCCTCAACAAAAACGAAAGATAAAATAGCCAACCTCAATTCCTTCCCCCTTTTAACTTGCCGGGCAGTTTACAAAAGAAAAGGCAGAAATAGAGAAAGAAAATAATTCAGCAGCCAAACAGCTGAACAAAAGGTTTGGCTCTGCTCACCTGTTTGCTCTTTCCAAAAATTATGATCTCATGTAGTGCATAATAGGCGCCTCTAATAGCCATTTTCTTAGGTGCCTTCTTTAAAAAAAGAACTGGACCAGTTTGTGGATGAAAGTTCTGTCAAAAGCTGTCTGCTCAATGAAACTTTCTGGTCCAGAGGCAGTACATCTGTAAGCATATTCCGAGGCTGAAACGGGGAAGGGCTATTACACCGGGTCCTGTTTGTAGGTTACCGGATACATTTTATTTGTATGGAAAAGCTTCAAGTCAATTTGTTAAAAGGTCAGAGATTATATTGCCCACATGGGATTAAAAAAGTCAGCTGTGAACAGAACAAAATTAGTTACATTTCTTTCTACAGAGCAGTGCAGTTGGGTCACATTGCAATAAAATAAATAACAACAGAATTGAATAGGCTTTGGACTTCTCTGTCAAGGCAAATTTTGTCTTTTCTTTTTCTGAGCTGAGGCTCATTGATAAAAGAATCTAGGTAGGGAGTAAACCTTTGTTGGTCTTTTTTTGATCGAGAGTCTTATTTATTTACATTGTCAACAGTCTGCCTTTCTCACGGACTGAAGGTGGATTACCCTTACTCTTTTGGAACTCTGAATGTTGGTCATAATTGGAACTAAGAAGGTGGCAGACAAACTGAAGCATACCTAATAAAAACACACCTTAAAAGTCATTAAAACCAGCCAAAACCAGATCTAAAATACATTTAAAAAATTAAAACACTGAAAAGTCTTCGCCAGCTGTCAGAAGATGGCGGCAGAAGGGGACAGAGGAAACTTCCCAAGGAGGGAGTTCTAGAGCAGGGGTGTCAAACATAAGGCCTGGGGGCCGGATCCAGCCCGTCCGGGGCTCCAATGTGGCCTGCGAGCAGCTAGTGCAAGGGAGGGAACCGGAGACTGCTTGGGAGGAGTGGGCGGGGCCTCTCCAGCTGTGGCTTCAGCATGGCGGAACAGCCTCATCTGCAGCAGTCAAGCAGCGTGGGCGCGTCTGCCCAGTTCTGCATCACCGGCTCTCCAGTCCACCCATATGGGTTTTCCTCTGCACCCTCCTCCAGCCCACGGGGCCTTGCAGTGAGGATACGACAACTTGGAGCTTACCAGCTACTGCCCTTTATACAGTTTATATCCCCAGTACCTGGCATTACGTTTGATGGCACACATGCCCCACGCCAACAAAATGACATGTCAGATCCGGCCCTTGTAACAAATGAGTTTGACACCTCTCTTCTAGAGCTTTGGTCCTTGGACCGAGAAGGCCTTCTCCCAGGTTGCCACCCACCCACCCTAATCTCATTAGGTGGGGAGACCCACAGCAGGGCCTCCAAAGGTGACCGTAGAAGTTGGCTGGGTTCAGAAGGGTGCTTTATTTTATCTATTTGATTTATATCCCGCCCTCCGCGCGAAGGCAGGCTCAGGGCGGCTTACGGTCATATACTTAAAAATACATTATACAGATATTAAAGAAGAAGAAGAGATTGGATTTATACCCCGCCCTTCACTTGGGAGTCTCAGAGCAGCTGACAAACTCCTTTCCCTTCCCCTCCCCACAACAGACACCCTGTGAGGTGGGTGGGGCTGAGAGAACTCTGACAGAAACTGCTCTTTTTCAAGGACAGCTGTGCCAGAGCTTGTGACTGACCCAAGGTCACATCAGCAGGTGCAAGTGGACGAGTGGGGAATCAAACCCGGTTCTCCCAGATTAGAGTCCGCGCACTTAACCACTACACCAAACTGGCTCTCTTAAAACAGTTAAAACCACAACAAAACGCTAGCAGTGCAAGTAAACAATGGCGGCACTCTTTCGGCATCCAGATGTAACCATCGCCATATTCCGGGTTCCTTGCCAGGCTATCCAATGTTACATTGGTGCCGGTGTTACTTTGGTGCTGGTGTTACTTTGGTGCTGGTGTTAGGGCCACCTTCAGGTATGTCGGCCCCAAACCATAGGGGGCTCTGAAGGTCAAAATCAACACTAGGCTCGGGAGCACGTTGGAAGCCAGTGAAGCCCTAGCGAGACCTGTTGGGATGCACGGGACTGACTCTGTGCTGGGACGCAAAAATGTTTAGGACTGGGTGCCTGAGGGGTGGGAAAGGTGGGTCGAGGAGGTCTTGTGAGGCTCCCTAGGCGAGAGACCTCTTTTCCTCCGTGGAGGTCCTATCATCCTTGTTGCAATAAGACAGACACAGGTGGAGTAGGTAAGTCTTTATTTTCATCGTCTGTGTGCCCCCTGCCCTGAATGGCCCAGGTATGCCCAATCTTGTTAGCTTCCAGAGGCTAAGCAGGGTCAGTTCCGGTTATTACTTGGGTGAGAGGCCACCACGGAAGTCCAGGGTCAGTATGCAAAGGCAGGCAATGGCGATCCACCTCTGTCTGTCTCTAGCCTTGACACCCCTACAGGGTTTCCATAGGCCAGCTGTGACTTGGCAGCACACAGTTCTTACATCCTCTGGCCTGGACGGCCCAGGCTAGCCCACCCTCGTCAGATCTCGGAAGCTAAGCAGGGTCGGCCCTGGTTAGTACATAAGAACATAAGAGATGCCAATGTTGGATCAGGCCAATGGCCCATCCAGTCCAACACTCTGTATCACACAGTGGCCAGAAATACCAGGTGCCCTCAGGAGGTCCACCAGTGGGGCCAGGACATTAGAAGTACGTGGATGGGAGACCACCAAGGCAGTTCCAGAG